TATCAATAAAACTGTAAATGGAATTCAAATTCGATAAATATGGGAAAATATGTATAAACGAAATATTTACATGAAGACCCTTCAAAGGGTACAAAGAGAATAAAACCATGTGTTTCGGAAGGGTGAACGTCTTCTGCTTTATCGACAACACCCGACATGTAAATCTAGATCAAATCTAAGTTATGAAATCTCCTAATCGCAAACACTTGCCGAACGATGACCATTCTTTTGATGTCACAATTGCTCTTTTGTTTCAACAAGATTTGTCAAGCCACAGACAACACACGCAATGCCCTACTTACCGTGTGGTACCGGAAAACTTCCAAATCTAACGAACAACGATCAGTGAGGAGCATTGCATTGTGTTTTGTTTTTACTGCAATAGAATTTTTATCATTGTGGCAGATTTCAATTGGCTTCGCATTATGGGGAATTACCCTTTAGCTCAATCGGTAAGGCGCGGCGGACGGGGATGGTGGGGGTCACTGGATCGATCCCCGTTTGAAGCACACTAGTCTCGTTCCCGTAACATAAATTAAGTTTAGAACTTAAAGATTTAATGTTGTATTTTCTGTTTAAGTGCCATGTGGAGACAACTATCCCAAGTCGTACTGTGAGGACCAGAAACAGCAGGGCTTCTGTTCCCCTCGCAGTGCCTATGCTACCTTCATGTCCGACAACTGTTACGCTACTTGTAGGTGAGTGTGGGATCTATTGCCTAGGGATTTTTGATTTACGTAATACAATATTCTTTACATGTTGAATCGTCCGTCTTAACACTGCTCCTCTTAATAATATCTACATTTTTCTCTTTTTATTTTTAAAATGTTAAGTATGATTTTCTATCGTTATTAGAAAAGATCACAGCACTGCTCGATTTAAAGGATTGTAGCCCCATTTGCATTGTCAACTATGGTCATCAAGACTTGGCAAAAACACTTAAAACTTCCGCTTTAATTTGCAGGGGAGGATGCTGAAGAGGTAACTAAGAAGATTCCACAACATTACAATGTCATATACAGAAAATACACCACTCCAATGTTCATTGTTTGTGTCCAGTTTTCTTCTTATATAT